TCCACATCCCTCTATTTGTCAGCTCAGCATCTCTCTATTTGTCAACTCGGCATTCCTCTATTTGTCAGCTCAGCATCTCTCTATTTGTCAACTCGGCATCTCTCTATTTGTCAACTCGGCATCTCTCTATTTGTCAACTCGGCATTCCTCTATTGGTCAACTCGGCATCTCTCTATTTGTCAACTCGGCATCTCTCTATTTGTCAACTCGGCATTCCTCTATTTGTCAGCTCAACATCTCTCTATTTGTCAACTGGGCATCTCTCTATTTGTCAACTCGGCATCTCTCTATTTGTCAACTCGGCATTCCTCTATTTGTCAACTCGGCATCTCTATATTTGTCAACTCGGCATCCCTATATTTGTCAACTCGACATCCCTATATTTGTCAATTCGACATCTGTCTATTTGTCAGCTCATTATCTGTCTATTTGTCAACTCGACATCTGTCTATTTGTCAGCTCAGCATCTCTCTATTTGTCAACTCGGCATCTCTCTATTTGTCAACTCGGCACTCCTCTATTTGTCAAATCGGCATCCCTCTATTTGTCAACTCGGCATCCCTCCCTCTATTTGTCAACTCGACATCTGTCTATTTGTCAACTCGACATCTCTCTATTTGTCAACTCGGCATTCCTCTATTTGTCAACTCGGCATCCCTCTATTTGTCAACTCGACATCTGTCTATTTGTCAACTCGACATTTCTCTATTTGTCAACTCGGCATCTCTCTATTTGTCAACTCGGCATCCCTATATTTGTCAACTCGACATCTGTCTATTTGTCAGCTCAGCATCTGTCTATTTGTCAGCTCAGCATCTCTCTATTTGTCAACTCGGCATCTCTCTATTTGTCAACTCGGCATCTCTCTATTTGTCAACTCGGCATTCCTCTATTTGTCAACTCGACATCCCTCTATTTGTCAACTTGGCATCCCTATATTTGTCAACTTGGCATCCCTCTATTTGTCAACTCGGCATCTCTCTATTTGTCAACTCGGCTTCTCTCTATTTGTCAACTCGGCATTCCTCTATTTGTCAACTCGGCATCTCTCTATTTGTCAACTCGGCATTTCTCTATTTGTCAACTCGGTATTCCTCTATTTGTCAGCTCAGCATCTCTCTATTTGTCAACTCGGCATCTCTCTATTTGTCAACTCGGCATCTCTCTATTTGTCAACTCGGCATTCCTCTATTTGTCAACTCGGCATCTCTATATTTGTCAACTCGGCATCCCTATATTTGTCAACTCGACATCCCTATATTTGTCAATTCGACATCTGTCTATTTGTCAGCTCATCATCTGTCTATTTGTCAACTCGACATCTGTCTATTTGTCAGCTCAGCATCTCTCTATTTGTCAACTCGGCATCTCTCTATTTGTCAACTCGGCACTCCTCTATTTGTCAACTCAGCATCCCTCTATTTGTCAAATCGGCATCCCTCTATTTGTCAACTCGGCATCCCTCCCTCTATTTGTCAACTCGACATCTGTCTATTTGTCAACTCGACATCTCTCTATTTGTCAACTCGGCATTCCTCTATTTGTCAAATCGGCATCCCTCTACTTGTCAACTCGGCATCCCTCTATTTGTCAACTCGACATCTGTCTATTTGTCAACTCGAC